ATCTTCAAATCCGCTGGCCTGGATGTCTCTTCCACTGCTTCCACAAGCAATGGGCTTCCTTGGGGATGTTTTTTTCCTACCCCAAACGATCTTCTCTGACATAGGGGGTATTGTAATTGATTGTATTGACTAAAGTGCTGTGACATGCAAATCAATGGATGCAGCAACACTTATTGGAATTTGGCCTTTGTTGTTTCCAATCGTCATTTTATCGAAGTTAACTACACACTTCCTCGGTAGTAAATAGTCCAATCCTAATATGCATTGGTCTTCAATGTCAGCCAAGTATACTTTCTGTCTGTTCTTCATGCCCATGAGCTCAATAGTCACCCACACTGGTCCCCACAACCTTGCATAATGTCCTGTCACACCACAGAGCTTCTGTATGGTTTTTGTTACTCCTTTGTGATCCAGCACCTTGATACTCACAAGGGTTTGGTGAGATGCAGAATCTATGACAAAGTTGCACTTTTGGTTATCCTGCTTTCCTGTCTTTTTCTGGCCTTGAATCTTGATGACTGTACCAACCTTGGTACCTCTGTGCTGGACTTAACATAGGATTCAAATTCATGAGCTCTGGCCATTGCATCCTGCATAGTAGAGGGGTGTGCTTATTTTACTTATATCTTCAGTTGTGGACTGTCCAAGGCATCTACAAACTGATCCCTCAGCAACAACTTGAGGAGATCGGGTGGTGCAGTTGGGTAGGCCTTTTGTGCCATACTTTCCAAGCCTTGTGCCAGCTTTTGCAGGCTCTCCCATTTACCACGGACTCTAGTCCTAAACCTAGTCCTGTAGACTTCAGAGTAATTTTGGGTTCCATACCTGAGTTGTAGAGCAGCTACCAATGCTCTATAGTTGTGCCTGTTGACAACTGTCCAAGTATTTCCAATGGTTCTCCCTTCAAGCTCGTTACCAGATATACTGCTTTCTACTCCTCTGTCCATCCATTCATTCCTGCCAGGAGCTCAAATTGTGCTCTATATGCTTCCCAGGGTGCCTTCCCATCGAATTCCTAGATCACCCCTATTGCTGACACTCGTGTCTGGAATGTGACTTCTAGCAGGACTGAAGTTTGTCTACATTAGGGTTTAGCTGCGGGGTCTGGAAGGGGTTTTCCATCGCCTGAGGCTGATTAGGTCGATGGCTAATATATCCTCCTTGTGTAAGAGACAGTAAATCATCCTTTAATGTATTTAATTCGCTTTGAAATTTACTAATGTCTTCAATTTGTGTACTCTGACTTTCTTTCAACTGTTGGAGTATCTCTTCTTGTTTATTTTCTTTCTCCTCCAACCACTGCTGTAGTCTCTCTTCTTGTTTATTTTCTTTCTCCTCCAACCACTGCTGTAGTCTCTTTTCTTGTTTCTTTTCTCGTTCTTCTTGTTTCTTTTATTTTTCCTCCAACAACTGCTGTAATCTTTCTTGTTTATTTTGCTGTTAGAGCTGCCACTGTTGCAGGTTTTCTTGCCACTGCTGTAATCTCTCTTCTTATTTCTTTTGTTTTTCCTTCAACAACTGCTGTAATCTCTCTTCTTGTTTATTTTCTCGTTTTTCTTGTTTCTTTTCTTTTCCTCCAACAGCTGCTGTAATCTCTCTTCTTGATTATTTTCTCGTTTTTCTTGTTTCTTTTCTTTTTCCTCCAACAGCTGCTGTAATCTCTCTTCTTGTTTATTTTCTCGTTTTTCTTGTTTCTTTTCTTTTTCCTCCAACAGCTGCTGTAATCTCTCTTCTTGTTTCTTTTCTTTATCCTCCAACAACTACTGTAATCTCTCTTCTTGTTTCTTTTCTCGTTCTTGTATTGCTGCCATCAAATCTTCTAAGCTATTGTTTGATTTGCCACCACTCGTTTCTAGCTTCTTTTTTTTTCGTCCCACTCTCTGACACCAATTTGTTACGTTTGTGTTCGTTTGTTAATTTTCCGTAAAAATTCTTCCCGAAAAAACTTCTGCGATACAAGTCCTCTCTTAAATAAAACTGGTTTATTCTTTTTCAATTCAACTTTGCAATACACTTAATTTCCACAGTCACTTTAACTTAAACTCACGCTATAATTCACAACGATTCACGCACTTTACTTATGGTGCCCCCTTGATTCGGTTATCCGTGTCTATATCTTCAATCTCTTTATCTGCAACTATATTCTTGCCGTCACTTTATTTGCCCGCTTATATACTATAAAAGCGTACACCTCGTCTCTTCGTGAATCTCCTAGATACTCATCTCGTGTTACTAGAGTCACGTGACTTCCGCTGTCGTAACAATATTAATATACCTTTCCCCATCCATTTCTGATGGAGTTTGGGTCATGACCCTTTTTCCACTGTGACGACCTTAAACTCTGGTAGGCTGTTGCTGCTGCATACTTTATCTGAAACTAGATATTTTCTAAATAAAATATATAGCTACAAAATTTATGCCTCACCTTCGCTTAGAATTGCCATCATTTTCGCCATCTCCTGCTTACACGATAATTGCATTCCTTATAATCAGCTTCAGTATCTATAAAATTCTCAGCTGTGCAATGTTGGCTATAATTTAACTCGGAACTGAGCTTGGTGGTATCTTTTAAACTATGACTTAAAGACTTTTGTTGTAAGAGGCAGCCTAGACATTTGTATAATGTTTTAGACGTTTGCGTAACATGACCAAAATTGATTATGCAGTAATTAAAAAACTGTGATCCTGTCAGCAGCGTCGTGTCCTAAAGAGCAGGAACCTTATACTTAAGCAATTGATTTGCGACATCAATAAATACAGTTGCAACAATAAGTTAATAATCGCTATGGTACATGTGTCATGCCTGCTATATAAACATTAAATTACATCCACGGACTACACCCAGCTATATACTTATGCATGTAGTAGAATATGATCGAGGCTCCACACAAATCACAGACTACATTAAAACGATTAGGTGACAACGGTTATACAACAGCTGTTATTTGCTAGTCAGACAAATAAACTTAAAAACGATCCTACGCAATGCATAATGATGTGTTTAGTAATACTGCCCATGTTTGGTTACAATACTCACAGCAATTTTTGCTGTTGGCTGGCGAAACAATATTTAAATATAATAATAAAGAAGAACAAATGAGCGTGCCCTATTATGAACCACTACCGTAATTCATGATATAGGTTCACTGTGATAGGTAAAAGACACCTAAAAACACTATGTATATAAATGCTAATTACTATCTAGTTTTATCCTACATTTCGGCTCATAATCTAATGCTGTCTTTAGAAGGACTATTACTCTGTTGTTAGTAGCCAATCCTTGGTTTTACTTGACGCTACTCTGTTAAATTATCCATTCGACAAGGGTCTCCTCTGTTAGAATTTGAATTAATTGACTACGCTAGGTTGACTGTGTGTATTTTCTCATGTGTGATTCTCACTATTTTAGTATTATTCCAAATTATTGCATGGTTTTCTCTAGCATTATAAGGTATTGCAGATAAATCACTATTACCGAGTCTTGTAATATGTCTATGTTGGTCTCCTGAATTATCTTACCGTAAATACTTAAGACGCTACTATAGCATATTAATAATTTGAAATTATTTTATCCAAATTCAAGTCTTTGGTTTTTCGTATATTCATCAACTGTTCATGATGCATTGTCTCTCATAGTTCTCGGTGATATAGTGCCTGAAATTTGATTTAATTAGTTTTGGTATCATATCCACTGTAATTTGAACAACTATTCATTATTTAGATGAAGTATTACTTAATAATATATTTATTAGATTGCTTACAAGTCATTATTTTTACACTTCATTTATTAAACTATTGAAATATTATGAAATATTCCAATATATAAGTGGACTATATTACCTGAATTTGTTTACCATATTATTGTTTGAGATCCTATGCTTCTGACACGGAACAAGCTGAAACGCATCTTTTTGTCATAGGCTTTGAGTAAAGTTATTCGCCATTACGAAGAGGTGGTTGAACTTGTAATTTTTGTAAGTTAACTTCTAGTCTTCTTGTAGTATATATTGTAAAAAATAAGTTAGTTTTACTAGAAGTGCCTTGTATAGTTATTTCTTTGATATTGAGCTGAAGGGATACTGTTTGGAAACTGAGTGAAAAATATTTGAACCCTATTTTAATAACAGTAACACTGCAGTGCCGAGAAGATAGTGGGTATTCATATTGGTAATGGTAGCAGTGCTGTTTTTTGTTATTTTGGCTATCTGCGTGGATAATAAGTTATTGTAAGATTAGGAGTTGAATTATGTTTCAAAATTAAAAAAAAAAAATCGTGTTTTACGAATTTCGCAGCCTCTAATTATTGTATGTATGTGGTGTGGAAGGGGAATTGAAAATTGCATCATGAAAAATACGTGTTTACTCAATTTTTTTGTTTTTTGTGACAAAAATTTGCTGCCTCAGCATCTGACTTAAAGTTTAACTTAAAAATTTGAGATTATTTAAACTAATATTAATTTGCATAAGTAGGAACAATTTGTGGTAATTACATTGTAAAGTTTAACATTCTAAGTGCTTAATGTTTTCTCTTATTTAATAGGGAAGCATTTGGCAAAAAACAGAAAAATTATAATTTTCTTGCTGCCTTGCTTTTTATTCAGTATTTTGTGGGACACTAGCATTACAAACAAAAAGAAGAGACATGAAATTAATGTACTTTTCTCAATAAGTGAGTTTACCTAAGCCCAAAGGAAAAACGAAAGTGTAAATAGCTAAAATATTTTTTTGTGTGAAATATATTTGTGATTGAAATATTTTTAAGGTTAATGTAGGACTTCCCTAATTAATAACAAGAATGTGATGCATATATGTATTTCCAAATGATGTGTATTGTGGTACTATTTTAGCATACAAGTATATAGAACTGCCATATTTTTCTCCATATTCTTAGTAAAATTATTTCATATAGAGGCTTGATGTCTGCTAAACATTGAATTGTGCTAGTCCACCATGCATACATTTTGCAAGGTATGCTACATGGAGTTCTTTTCACTTAGCAAAATTCCAGGAGTAACACAGAAATTATTTCTCAGTGTATCATGATAAAGCTTTTGTTATGATAGTATATTGCAATGCACATATTTTGGCAATAACCAGCACTATTGGTTAGAAGTGTGATTTTTTTTTCTTTTTTTTTTTTGTAAATACCAGTATCAGACCCAGGTGCATCAATTTAACACATCTGTGAAAGAAAAAACTACTGTACGAAACAGTTTGAAAGTTCAGAAGTACTTTTTAAAGTTTATCTAGCTTCTACAATTATCTTATTTTTGTATGTGATATTCGGAAGAATTAGCAACTGAAATTTTTTAACTATTTCATTATGAAATGTTTTTTTTTTATATAAGAAACAGGTAAAAATGCTTACATAAACTTTATTGCAAATTTTAAATACTGATATTTGCATCTTCCTACATTTTACAAAACTTTCTTATTAAAAAACTAAGTTATTTAAAAAAAGATACTTGTAGAGGGGAAACTGCTCTTTCTATTACTACTATTAATTATAAACATGCCCATCAAATAAGGAGATGTTACAGATAACTTTTTTGTTAAGCTATGATAAGATGGGTGGGACTTCGCTGGTGGGTTTGACAAATTTATTGGTCTCAGCAAATTGAAAAAATAGAAGGTTGATATTTTCTATTGTGGAATGTTTTTATCTATAGTTTGTTTGTAATTGGTTGGGCACACTGAAACCCATATAAGGGAGAAGTTGGAGCATAAAATCACTTGACACAGATGTGAAGATTAGTATTTCCAATTATTACTGTTTTTGATTCATTCAACTATTCGAATAATAGAAATATTGCCACTATCGTTTTCAATTTATTCAAGTTCAGTTTAATTTATTAGTATCCAGACTGTTTATAATAATTAACTAAATAAAATCTGGTTTTCCAGTTATTACTGTTTTTCATTATTCCAACTATCTAAGTAATTGAAATATTGCCATTCTAATTTCTAATTATATTTTCATTAACTCTTTCATTACGGGGTCAGTCAATGTGACAACCTCGTAACTATTTTGTGCTTGTTATAGTTTTCATGCTATAACTTTTAAATTAGCAATTGCATATTAACAAAATTTGGCAGATTATCAGTAAACATTACAGTGCTTTCATATGCAAAATATCTAATTTTTCTATTGAGTCATAAGGTTTGTAAAGCAATGTTTCTCATGCTTTTTCTTTCTTTTCACATCTTGCCTATCATGCAAAGTAATATTCATTTTAAGATTACAAATACTTTTATGCATCAGAAGATTTTCAAATTTCACA